CTCTTTCCCTTCCCCTTTCTTTCTTTCCCTTCCCCTTTCTTTCTTTCTTTTTCTCTTTCCCTTCCCCTTTCTTTCTTTCCCTTCCCCTTTCTTTCTTTCCCTTCCTCTTTCTTTCTTTCTTTCTTTCTTTCTTTCTTTCTTTCTTTCTTTCTTTCTTTCTTTCTTTCTGGGTGGGGCAAAGCCACACAAGCAACTGCGTGCTTCAGAACAGCCCTTCCATAGTGCTGCACTGACATCACCTAAGACAAAAAACTTCTTGCTATTAAGAAAGTTAACATATGATAATATATCGTTATACAATAGTATAGTATGCAATGCGGAAAAACAAAAACTGTGGACTCTCAAATATATACAATAGCCAATTTTGTCTCCCTCCCCACCCCGGACATATGTAACTTTCAAACTTTTTGTGACTCCTATAAAGCCTGCTAAAAGTTGCTAGTGCATTTTGAGAGTAGGATTATATGAGAAACTGCTGTGTAAGCTCTCCAAGTGACATAACGTAGTTTTAACAGCATCACCTCTAAAGGCCTCCAGAAAAGCAGCCCCAAATCCTGTTCATTGCAACCTTTGCCCTGCCAAAGATTCTCTGTAGGTCTCCCCATCACCAAATGATTGCCTATCCCTGTGATTTACTGTTTTATGACATTGTTAATTGAATTACAGCAAACCACAGGCAGACGTTTGTCATATTACATGCTATGTGCCACCAATTCCTCACAGAGTGTCCTTTCACCACAAACAAGCCAGAAAAGCAATAGCAAAGAAACACACAGGGGAGGCTGCAAAACCAAACAAAAACCAACCTCTTTTTATGTTTTGGAAATGCAGCTCCATGTTCACTGCTGGTGCCTAGTCTCTGCCTCACTGTAAATTCATTCATTCACTCATTCAGTTAGTCAGTCTGTCTATATCCTGCAGCATGCATGCTAGTAGATGTTACAGTACAGTACAGTGAGAAATATTATACAAATATTTAAGAAGGCTCTAGATTGCTGACATAAAAGCTATATGCGACATTCTTTTTACATGGAATTGCAGGGAAATCATGGAATGCTTCCCAGGAACTTCATTTCCCTTTCAAACTTTCTGCCATCTTTATGGATGTGAAGATACTTAGGAAAGCATCTTCACAAGGTGTGCAAGCATTGTAGAAACCGTGAGTGGGAGTTAAGTAAGGTTTCCCCAAGGACCTGGGTCAATGCTACAATGACCTCAACTGCTCTTTGGTCAACTTCCCAATGTAAACATGCCTAAAGGTAAAAGTGCTGGTCGTTTCCGACTCTAGGGGGCGGTGGTAATCTGTTTTAAAGCCCAAAAGCAAGCGCTGTCCGAAGACGTGACTGTGGTCATGTGGCCAGCATGACTAAATGCCAAAGGCGCACGGAACACTGTTACCTTCCCACCAAAGGTGGTTCCTATTTTTCTACTTGCATTTTTACATGCTTTCGAACTGCTCGGTTGGCAGAAGCTGGGACAAGTAACGGGAGCTCACTTCATTACGTGGCGCTAGGGATTCGAACTGACGAACTGTCGACCTTTCTGATTGACAAGCTCAAAATCTTAGTCACTGAGCCACCACATCCCTAAACCTGCCTCCTAAGCAGCAAAAATTATAATCGGAGAGAGTAGGCTTTTGGGCAGAATTCAAAAATTGTGTTTTGTTGTGAAACAGATTTTGACTGCCGGTGGAGCTGAAGACAAGAAGTAAAATAAAAAGGTGAAAAGGGAGTAAAATAGACAGAGCATCACTATTTCAGAACGTAGCTGTCTTTATAGTTTTGTGCTCAGAGGTAAACCTTTGTTTTTATAATTATAATAGTCCTTCATGCAAATGTAATGCAGCATGCAGAAAGAAATTTGAGGGAACTGGGATAAAATAATTTGTGGTTATATTATTTTAAAAAATTCTAATTCCTTCTGTGGATCTTATTCTAAAAACCTGTGAGTGTGAGAAGCACTCTACTACACAAGTTAGTAACAAAACCCTCTCTGTACTTCCAAAAATCTCTCTTAAACAAAAGGTTTTTTTTGCCCAGATCTCATGAGATTTTGGGGTAGGAGGAAGAGAACCACCAGAGCTATTGTATAGTAGAGCCTGAATTTTTTTAAAAAAACGTTTGTCAATCCTTGCCATGATTTGGTCAGATCCTGCAGACAGAATACTAGGCACATGGCAAGCACACAATGCTTTTCAATTCACCTTGATCTGAAGCCCCTTCTCCCCTCCCTTGTGAGAAAGAGATATGAGTGAGCTTCTTTGTAATATGTTAGCTGCAGAAAGCTCATTTATAAAATCTGCCTGATTGCTGAGAGAGTCCAAGCATACTCTGCATTTCTGCAGTGCAGGACCTAGGCTACAACAAAGAAATTCAGCCTGGAGACAGCAGTGCTGTTTAAGCTTCCGTAAATGCTGAGTCTGCACTCTGCATTAAAACAGGCAAGGCAGGAATGGTTAAATTTTTTGCAGCTCTCATGTACTATCAATTGTAATTTGCACACAGTATTTCCTATTCGGCCTAGTGAGAAAGAATCCCACTATGTGCTTTCCCACATAGGCACTTGGTATTTTATTCAGGCATCATTTCAGGATTGTCCTCAACCTTAAAGATCATAAACCTGCTCTTTAAAATATGAATGCCAAGATTCCTAGAATGCCGGGGTTTCATTACAAAGAAGCCCTGATCATAGATTATCTCTAGCATTTTAAAACAAATGCGAGAGCTGCTTAATCAGTTTCTAAATCAGCCCTCATAAGAGGAGTTGAATTGCATAAGAGGTTGCAATCAGATAGGCTGGAATTTGGTATATTCATATGCTAAGTGGGGAGAGCTTAAGAACAGTTAGCAATTTTAGCTATTTTTACAGGGAGTTTCCTGTAAAAGATTCCACCCCCCACCCCCCAGGGTGGCTTCCTTAGGTATCTCTCATTTCCAAAATCCAAAACCTAAAAACAGTCCCTATAATATTGCTTTATTAATTATCAAATATTTGGATAGGCATATTTTTCCTGGGTACGAAGACTCTTGATCTGACTCTTGATCAGAAAGGTTGGATTAAAAGACTTCCAAAGCATGTTATAGGCCTATAATTCTTTAATTATAATTATATAAAATAGGGAGTTACTTTCCAAACATTTATAGAAGGTTATACCACACGGGGGTAGAAGTATCTGAGTGAGAAAGTAGAAATCTCAGCTACAAAAAACAAGGTTTCTCTGCATTAGAAAACCATTTTATCAAAGTAAGAGAAAATGGGGGGATCATTAGAAATAAAAGCAGAAAGATTAAAAAAATGTAGCTATACAATTCCTGTTTTTGTTGTTTACGGTTATTTCACGATACTAGAATTTGCACAGTAGTAAAGACTGCAGCTATTTAAAGCAGATTCTAGCTACAGTGAAAAAGCGCATTAAAAAACATAATCACTATGAAATTTACAGAAATTATGGCATCTAGCTGCTCTCCCTTGATCATCTGATGAGGATATAAAAAGGAAATATATGCAGCAGCTCAAAACAGGAAAAATAAGGCAAAGAGGAATGTGACACCAAGGGCCAGGAACATCCTTTTATCACAATTAGTGCCCCCCCACCTTTCTCCATGGGATTCTTGCTATGTAAAAACTAAAAGAATTCACAGATTGAAAGAAGTCTCTTTACGAGGATTTTTAAAAAAAACATATCTGACTCTGGATTTTCTAATATTAGATAATGCTTTTTG